AACTACACGTTTAATAATAATAATAATAATAATGATGAAAAAAACATATAGTGATATATGCATTAGCATTTAGTAATATCATAAAGCAATAAATACAAATAGTTATATAAATATTAAGCAGACAGATAATATAAAATAATTGCAATAATCAAATAACACTTAACACGTAACTAAACAAGATGTTGTTTTGCAACAGCAACAACAACAAAAAAAAAAAAAAAAGGACAAATAGTTTATAGATTAATAATAATTAATTACACACATAGTTGACTAGTTGATTAAATTAATAGTAGACATCGAGTGCTGCTAGCCGGCGGCTGGTGCACGGCGTGCGCCCCAATCCTCTTTGATCATGTCCGATGCCTTCTCGCCGATCGCAATGACCGGCGCATTCGGATTGCCATTGACAATGGTCGGCATGATGCTGGCATCGACAACACGCAGCCCCGAGACGCCATAGACGCGCAGGCGGGGATCCACAACGGCAGTCGCATCCCAGCTGGGACCCATGCGACAAGTGCCCGACGGATGGTAAATGGTGAATGTGAACTGCTTGATGCAGCAGGCCCAATACGCGTCCGATTGGAACTTCAGGTGGCGGCAGCCGGGCAACGGTATGTTATGCAGCCGCGAGCCGAATCGCTGGAAGGCCTGCGTATTGGACACATTGATGGCCAGCTTGATGCCCTCGACCAGCACATTGATGTCCTGCTGGTGTGCAAAGTAGTTGGGTATCAGCTTGGGCGGCTGCTGCGGATTGCGCGAGTTCAAGCGCACCCAGCCGCTGCTCTTGGGCCGCAGCAGGAGCGGCAGTATGGACCAGGTCTCGCTGTGCTGAAGCGGCTTGTAGACGGTGTTGTAGAAGCCATCCCTTAGATTCAGTATCTTGCGTATCTGCTCGCCGCCATCAGAGTTAATGGAGCTGGGCAGAAAGTGAAACTGTACGTCTGGCCAGTCGACTGACGGATCCTGGTATTTGGTGTTCAAGAAGGCGACGCCCTCGACGCCCGAAAAGGTCATCGGACCGCGCTCCCTCAGTATGTACTCCATGGAGACGGGTATCGTCTGGAAGCGATTCCGTGTCACGGTCAGCGGTGCATCCACCACAAACGTGAGCCCGCCCAGGCCCACGTGATCCTGCATGTTGTTGCCCACCGGTAGATCCGATATAACGGGAATATTATGCTCCTGCAGATGCTCAGCTGGACCGATTCCGCTCAGCATCAACAGCTTTGGCGAGTTGAGTGCTCCGGCACTGAGAATGACCTCGCGTCTGACAAACACCAGCTGCTTGCGTCCCCCTTTAATGTACTCCACGCCGATGGTGCGCTTGTCCTTGTCGATCAGCAGGCGCGTGGCCTCCGCATGGAGCAGCACGTCCAGATTCTTACGGAGCCGCACGGGGCGAATGAAGGCCTTGCCGGTGCTGCAGCGTGCACCGCGCCGTATGGTGCTCTGGGTGAGCATGAATCCCGTCTGCTTGGCGCCATTTATGTCCCGATTCTCGTAGCCCATCTCAATGCCCGCCTGCAGGAAGGCAATGGAGAGCGGGGTGCGCCAGGGCGCCTCCTGCACCGTCAAATAGCCGCCGGTCTCGTGGTAGGGCGTGGCCGCCAAATATGGATTACGCACGTCCTCCGATTTCAAAAAGTACTTGAGCATGGTATTGTAGTCCCAGCCGGGATTGCCCAGCGAAGCCCAGTGGTCGTAGTCGTTCCTCGAGCCGCGCACATAGACCATGGCATTCAGCACCGAGCTGCCGCCGAGCACCTTGCCGCGTGGCCAGAAGCAGCGATCGCCCTTCATGGCCTGGCAGTATTGGCGCGTCGACGAGGGCGTCGTCTGGTACTTCCAGTCCAGCTCGGTCAGCTGCAGATAGCCCGCCAGCGCGGGCACATCCGAGATCTCCGTCTCATCGCCGCCCGCCTCCAGCAACAGCACCGTCCAATTGCGCACCTCGCTCAAGCGATTGGCCACCACAGCGCCAGCTGAGCCTCCGCCAATCACGACGAAATCATATTGGCGACGGATCTGAAAGGATGAGAGGTGTGAATATATGGATCAAAGTCTAGGGGGAAAATTCCTAACGTATTGTGATCTAGAGACGGTGCATATGGGATGGAAAGATCTAGACTAGGCTACTGTAGAGCTCACTTTGGCGAGCTTCCCAATTTCCTCACAGTATAAATAATTTCTCTGGTCTAGCTCAAATCACTTTCTGTCTTTTTTGCTTTCTTGAGGGGTCACACGAATTTCTCTCTTATTTCTGTACACTCAGCTTTCATTTTGAGTCGTTTTGGAGAAACAAACTTACTACCGCATTACCATATTTGTCCCGGCTTAGCAGACGGTGCCTGAGTACATACAATTATAAGTCAATCAATCATACCACTATTCCATTAATCATTGGTCTAGACCTCGCCTTAAGAAGTATCAACTTTCTAAGTACAGTTTTGGGACTAACTACAATACTTGAACACCCTCCACTTACGATTGATGGCTCCTGGACTTTGTTCTCGGGATCGATGCTTTGATAGCGATAGAAGTTCATGCCGATCGCCAGTAGCGGGATCATGCCAAGCAAAGACGTCATTGTGCCAAACGCCATGTTTCAGTAATTGTCAAATCCAAGGATCCTCGTGACAGTTTCCGCTCGTTGAGCAATGGGAGCTAACACTGCTGCGCTGCTTGATCGCTGGGTTCGAGTGTGGATAGCCGAAGCTGGCTGCGGGCGCACTGGCTGACAGAGTGGAGCTGGCCGAGTCGCCTCCGCCAAGTATTTTGGGCGTATAGTTGCGTATGCCACCCGGCCGGGCTGACTTGAAGTGGGCGCGCGCCCGTTCGTCCTCCTCCAAGATGTCCAAGTAGGACTTGATATAGAGGTGATGGCTCAGATAGTGCTTCTGCTTGTCCAGCGAACGGCTGGACTTGCTGGACAGCAGCGAGCTGGGGCAGCCGCTGCTGGAGCTCGCCGAGCTGCTGCTAATCGCCGACGAGGACAGCGATGAGAGCGATGAGCAGTGGCAGGAGGAGTTGTAGATGCCGCTGTCCGAGCTCTGCGAACTGCTGCGCTGCAAGTACTTTCCGTTCAACTTGGCGTAATGGGAGTCGCTATCCAACGGCAGGCTGCTTCGGTTCGTAGCGCTGCCGGCCAGGATCTTGGTCCGCTCGTACGTCTGCTTCGTCAAATTGTACTTGTGCCGCAGTCTATAGTTGGCGTCGTAGTCGTCGGTACTGTTCGAGCTGGAGCTGCTAGACAGATGGCTGGCGGGCGTATAGATGGGATCCTTGTAGCTCTTGCGATGCGGCTGGCCACGCTTATGATTGAGGTTCAGATTGTGGCTGAGGTTATGGTTCTGGTGGTGGTTGTGGCTGTGGTTGTGGTTGTGGAGTTGCTGCTGCTGTTGCGATATCTCTTGGCCCATATTTCAACTGCAATATGGACAGAACTGCAAAGCAAAACGACATTTATTAGTGGATGGACTATAAATAAAAACTTAACACTAATTGAGTAGAGGAATGATATATATGATATGGAGCCATGACCCTAAATCGTAGATACGCGCAGAGCCTTGAGTATCAAGAGAGGGTGCAAATAAAGGAAAGTCCTTCAAAGCTTAATATTTGCTAGGCTAACCTGATATAAGTGGAAGAAAATAGATTAGTGTTGGCATGATAATTGAGCCCTGAGCACTAAGTGAGTAGAGGGACGATATAGCTATAAGGCTATCAGACTTATTATGATCAAATAAAGAAACTGCAGAGTCAAGGAAGCCTAAGGGAATAAACTGTTGCTGGCTGCATTGCTGTTGACCAAGCCAAGCCTATTTGACCTTATGATGCCTTAAGTAAGCTCTACTTTAGCGAGCTGCTGCGTAAAGCTCAGATGATCAGGAATTTCCTTTATCAGATCAAGATGTTCAATTCACTAGCGAAGCACATGCAGGCCACGCCCTAATCGAAGCTATAGATATGCGATATTGCGCTGGCTCTTAATTGGAAGATGTGCCCTAGTTGTGGCTGGTTATATCATCGTTATGTGTTGTTTTTTTTTTTTTTTTTTGCTATCTACGTCTCATACGCTTATTCTGTGGCGCATCCAACACAGTCTGAGACTTCTTCTGTCATGTAACGAGAGCTCTGAACTAGTTAATTATTAACGGGCTCTGCGGTGCGGCGGAAACGATGACGTTTGTTTTGCAATCCAATTGGCCAATTGTTGACGTTCGTTCATTTGCATGGCTAGCATAGAGACGCCGCTATACGCGCTGCCAAACAAAAGACTTAGGCAACGAACTTGTTTACATTTTTCGCAAGCCAAACGAAAAACAACCCAACTTGAATGCATGAAAAAAGGTTATCAAATCACAGATTGAAAAGCCAACCAAGTTCGAATGATGTCAAAACGGCATCTCATTAAAGACATGCGCGATTGCCCCCAACTTGATATCACTCTCTCCCACTCTCCAACCTCCACCTCTCTCTCTCTCTCTCTCTGTCTCACTCTCCCCCTTTCTTTCAGTTGCTCTCACGATTATGCGATGTGATGCGGTTCAAGTTTTTCAAGTTCAATGCCGCCAGGCGGAAAAGCGCAACTTTGCATTGCATTTTCTGGTTTCTTTCTGTTTTCATTATTACAATTTCGTATTTGTTTGTCTTTATTTTTGTATATTTGTTTTTTTTTTTTTTTTTGCTATTTTTTTGCTGTTTTTTTCTTCTCTGTTTCAACTGTTGTAAAATGCAATTTCGTTATTTGGTTTATTTGTCCGAATGTCATTTGCGGCCGTCTGTTCCGAGTGTCAGCTTTAATTGCTGTCCGTTAGATGCTGCTGCGGTTTTTCCAGTCTCTTCAACATGTTGTCGCGCTCGATTTAAACGATACCAGTGAAAGCCGAACCCCACACACTGTGAGAGGCAGACAGAGAAAGAGTGTGAGCGAGAGAGAGAGAGAGAGATGATGAGGAAGAGGGAGCGCATGCGATTTGACTGCAATTGTAAATTGCAACTTCCTGCTCCTGCAGCTAGTCAAAAGATTTGGCTTTACTTTTCGTTTATGATTTTTGGCACTCGGATTATCCAAAAACTTTTGTGAACGTTTGGCCGTTGTCGCGGTTCGTTTGTAACTGAGCCACAAGCCAAGCAAACTATTTCCAATTCAAAAGCGCCGTTAAAAAACCAAACGCAATAGCAGAAAAAAAAAACTATATAAAAAAAAAAATAAAATACAGCTAAAAACAGCAAACGTCGAACTGTGAGCGCAGTACAACATGTTAATTTATGCAACGCCCTTGGGACAGACCCCATTTGTGAATTGGGCCAACCCCAGCTACAGCAACAGCAACAGCTACAGCTTCATCTCCATCTCCATCTTCATCTCCATTTTCATCTCCATCTTCATCGTCATTTTCGACTTTAGCTTTATGTCGCTGGCCATTGTGATGCAAGCGCTGCTTTTTCCCATTTTTGGCTTTTCTCATTCATTGAATTGTTCGGCTCGGCTCTGGGCTTTACATCATATGACTCCATATGTATATAGAGCCCCCATACGCCCCTTCTTCCCAGCAGCGAGCTACAGCTATAGCTCCAGTTACCTGATGAGCTGCTGTCGATTGTTTGCTGTTGCTCTTGTTGCTTATGCAATTTACACATTGTTAGAAATACACTCTGACTCGGTCTCCGACTCTGGCTCTGGCTCTCACATGGCCAGGCGCTATAACAGTTGGGCCTATCTGTCAATTACGATTTGACAGCTTTTAATTATGAGCGCGCTTAGTTTACGGCTCGTAATTGATGACATTTGGCTGTTTATTTTTGTTATTGTTTGTTTGCTGTCTCGATTTGGCTACGGCTTCCTTAGTGGGTCACACTGGGCCATCCAGCAGCGAGCTGCCAACAGCCAGCTGCTGACTGTCAACTGCAGGTCTTGACACTTTCTCACTTGAGTCACGCTTGCTGCGTATTAAAACACATAAACAAAAACAAAAATAAAAACGAAAAAAGAAATTAAGACGCGTCACTAATTGCCCAGCTGTTTATTAGTTAGTTGGTCGCTTAGCAGCAGACGCCAAGTCCCGTTCGTATATCCGGATGCATTGGATAATGCTGCAGCACATTAGCCACGCGTCACTATCGACAACAAAAGCGAATTGTCTGTTGCACTAATCATCGATAACAGCGGCGATAACACTTTATCTGTTGACTAGTTACGGTGAGCAGCGCAGCAGGGCGGAACACCAAGCATTGAAGAAGTAACTGCTGTGCACGAAAATTAATCGGTTATCGATACGCTCAGGATTACTAAGCAAAGCTGTCAAGGCTCATCAAGTGAATCATTAAAATTATCGTTAATTATCAACAGCCGAATACAGTTAAGGCATTTACATATGTATACAAAGACATATTTTTGTTGTTATCGATAACATTTTTACATGCATGCAGACATGAGTATGCAGTTATTTGATATGCTTTAATTTTTCATATTGAATCAGATTATCAAATCAATCTTGTTAATATTAAACAATAACTCTGAGCTATGCTATCGATAACAGCTTGTTTGTAAAGCTTTCCTTGCATGCTTTTCACGTATAGCCAGAACTTATTCTGATTGCTGGTATTGCTCACACACAATCGATAGCAGTGACGCTATAATTTCAAACAACAAAAGTACAACTCTTCGAGTATATGTTATCGATAACATCAAGTTTGAGCCAAGCATTCAATCGGCTATTGCTGCGCACAACTTTTCTTTGCCGCATCCAATTTTGGTGCGCCTCTGCGCCCAGCCATAAAATAGATAAATCTCTGGTGCAACATGTAATCGATAAAATCGAATCCATAAATTCAATGGTTTTTTCTCATGCGCCAGCCTTTTCCCCATTGCCCGAACATGCGACATGGGTGACTTGTTGTCGCCTTTGGCTTTTCCAGTTTTCCTGCTACGCCTTGGTCTAAATCCGCCAAGTTGGCTCTGAACTTGATTGCTGCCAATGCCAATCAAGTGGCGCCCGAGCAGGGACATCTATACATTATTTTTACTCATTTCTTTTTTTTCGTTTTGTTGTTGTATTTTTATATTTTGGAGCTGTTGCTATGTTTTGCGACGCGTTTGTGTTTATCGGCGTTTACTTTCCTTTCGGCTGGTTTTTGCGCTTAATCGTTTTATGCAGCAGTAGCCGCATGATCGACTATTTATAGCTTCGACGTGCACAAATTGATAATAATTTGCGCGCACAGGTGCGAGGCGGCAGCGACGATGGCAACGGCAACGGCAACGGCGACGGTGGCGGCAGTGAGCCGAAAGGTAGAAAGTGTTAGCCGGCGGGCATGTTCGAGATGTGCAAAGGGAAGTCGACTTGGACTTCGGCTTGGGCTGTTGTTACCAAATAAAAAATGGAATTACATAAGAACGCGCTGAGCCGGCGTTCGAATGAGGCAAAGAACGTGTTAGGCAATGTGCAAGTGGAACGAAATGAAATATAAATGGAACGTGAATAGCACGAGAGAATTCACAAAAGAAATAAAATAAACGGAAATGAATGGGAGTTTCGAGAAATATAGTAACTTATGATATAAGAAATTGATAAGAAACTTGAATGAAATATTTTTGAATTAAAAATAAAAAGAAGAGTAAAGTTATTGAAATTGCTATTGATAGATAAAAAATATTAGATACTACATAAAATTTTAAATAAAATTGGAATATGAGAAATAGTATTAGAAATAAGAGAGGTATATTTATACAAAGTGGCAAGGCCAAGCCGTCTAACGAAAGTAATTCACGAATGAAATACAATTGAAGAGAAGGAAATACTAATGAAATTACCAATGATCATTTTAAAAAGGGAGTTGAAGCATTAGGCATATGAAATGAACACAACTTTTCAGGAAGTAATAAAAATTGAAATGAAAAATTTAATGAAATAATGAGATATAGCAATAATGTAAAGAGCATCGTCTAAATGAAGACCTATCAGTAAATATCGACAAGTGCTGAGGAATTAAGTGAAATACAAAACACAAGACAAGGAAGGCAAAGCAATTCAATTAATATTTACTAATTTTAATAGAATGTTGATGGTATACAAATTATTAGATATATAGAAAGACAGATTGATTGATGAATAGATAGATGCTTGATAGATAGATGGATAGATTGAATGGATAGACAGATAGATGCTTAATAGATAGATGATAAATATATGTAAAGACAGATAGATAGATAGTTGATGATAGATGGATAGATATATACATGAAAGATATATAGTTATATAGATAGATAAATAGGTAGCTCCATAGCAATACTTGTTTATAATAATGTACATTTAATAATTTGTATGCAAGTCCCATAGAAATCATATGGAAATGGCCAATAAAATGCATTTGCAATGATATTTAAACGTGTTTCGGCATTCCGTATCAGAAACGCTATCAGAAATTGAATTAAGAGCCATAGCAAAGATTACATAAGCGAATTGCAAGCGTTGCGCGCTTTCCAAAAAGTGAAAATTAGGACAAGTAAATCAAGTGCGCGGATAGCTTGTGTGCATAGTGTGTGTGTAGTGTGTGTTTCTGTGTGTGTGTGTGTGTGATTAGTACAAGTAACTTTGTCAACGTACCTCCGCTTGTTGTCGCTGTCTTTGTTGTTGCTGCTGCAACTGCAACTGCAACTGTTGCTGCTGCGGCTGTGTTGCCTCGTCTGCAGTTACCACAAACGCAACCGTTTGCCACTTTCCTTTGTCTTACACATTTTATACACTCATGTATATAAATATANGTCCAACGTCTGAGCTGGTTTTCTTTCCATCTCTTGCTCTGTCTCTCCTTCTTTCTATTTGCTCAGCTTTTGCTGCAGCTCGAAGCTTTCTGCTCGAAAGCTTTTGCAGCTCGAGTTGCCCATTTGATTGATATTATTTTAGATCAGCTTGCTTCAGTTTATATTAGCCAAAACAATTTGATACACTTCCCGATCGAAGATCGCGAACTCTATCACAGCAGCACGACTCACGGAGTGAATTTCATTCAATTCAACTTTTCCCGCGTTTTCATTTGACTTTTGCTTATGTACCTTTAAGTGGGGCTCATGTTAAACACGTTTGCGATTTCTTAGTGAAATTGAATGTGAAACCTCACTAAATACCCTTTATACATGCATATGTATGTACATATATGTATAGTCACACACCCTATACCATGCTTAGCTTGCTTTTATGGCACCTCATTTAGTTATATATATATACTTTTTTTGCGACATCATCCACTGTTTATAGAGTGTAGAAGGCGCCCATATGATGTGCCAAGTCATAGCCAGAAGATGATGAATATGGAATCTAACTTCTCCATTAGTATTAATAATTGATTAAAGATATATGTACATATTTACATACAGAATATGAACTTAGTTTTATTGTTGCTTTATGTATATGGCATAGCTGCAATTGGAATAGTTGTATGAGAACCATTTGATGACTATTTTTGAAAAACCTTGTTTTTCAATATAATACATAGTCTTCTTAAATATCGTAATATCTTACTTATACTCTATATACCATATATACAATATACATAAGTATGCATTCATATATAGATTATATTGATCAGTATCCCTCGATATTCTACTCTGAATATTAATCCAGTTATATAGAAGAATCTGCTATGGTCTATGCTTTGCTTTTCGCATTGATTTTCTTCTTCTTCTCTCGTTGGCATTCTTGTTGGGCATCGATGGCTATATAGCTAAGTTTCGTTAACTAGCTGCAGCGCTATCCCCTCCAATTCAAACTTAGTACTTAAAGTACTGACTGATAATAACAGGCTTTTATATATCACGGAACTATTAGCTTCTCAAATGATTAATGTGCCTCATTTCGTTTTATACTCATTAAGAGCATCTCTTTAATAGGATATACTTAATAATAAACTCATACTTTTATCAATATCTGTATCTCTCTCTTTCTCTTTCTCTCCCTCTCTCTCTCTTTCTGTTTCTCTCTCTCTCTTGCTCTCTCTGTGTCTCGCTATCTCTCTCTCTCTCTCTTTCTGTTTCTCTCTCTCTTGCTCTCTCTGTGTCTCGCTATCTCTCTCTCTCTCTCTCTCCCACATTGTTCTTAATAGTCCAGCTAAAGCAACTCTTTCTTGCTCTCAAGTATTTCCCTCTTCCTGTATTTTCTTCTCACTGTCTTTCTTCTCATCGTCTTGCCCTTTCACTCCCACCCACTTACACTCTGCCTGTCTCTCTTAAGCCCAGCTTGAATACATTTCTCGAGGTTCACGTGCCGAGTGCAATGTCTTTCAGCTGTAACGTTGAATGACCCCCCCACAGACTCAGAGCAAAACCCACACGATGTTTTCGCATGGTGGTAAACCCACTCTGCACCGCTGTTCACAATTTCAGCTGCTGCTCCACACTGTCAGCACACAGTTGGCCTCTTCACTCATTCATTCATTTGTTCATTCATTAACTCACTCAAGTGGCTTGAAACGTCACGACGCGTCATTCGTTTCGGTTGCCATTCGTGAACTCTATTCGCCGTTTGCCGGCTGTGGAGCAGCTGCGGCCTGGCTGAACCACAAAGCCACCATTGAACTCTGCGCACTACAACTCCTCGAGTTAAATGGAGTCAAATATATTTTACCGCGCCGCTTCCGGCAGGTCCCAGCCACCGGCGAGCTGCTCCGCTTGGCCAACAGAGTTGACATTGAATCCGTTGTAGTCTTTTATTTTTTGCGTTTGTTTTTTTGCGGTTTTTCTTTGCTAAGTTTAGCAACTTTCGTTTCGCTTAATTTTCGGGGTCCAAACACCCAGCCAGCCAGCCAGCTGGAGGCAGCATAAATATTTATGCGTTGCACTTGAGAGCATTCCTGGCAGCGGCCGCCAAAGTAAGCCGCCCCTCGCCTGATCTGTCCATCCCCCGTCCCTGGCGTCCAGCTCTGGCATTGGATTTATGGCTGCTTTTCGCGACCCGACTCGTCGGGTTGGATCCGAGGAGCCCGAATAATCATAGCGGCCATAATCGAAATAAAGATACCGAATCTAAATACAAACTAATAATATATAATATAGTTTAGGAAGTGAAGCACGAATTAGATTTATCAAATCTGAATAATTTTAATCATTTAATTAAATTTATAATAATCTGCTTTTCTATATATGTGTAAATATATAGTGTGTATATATAGTAAATGAAACTTAAAGACAGAAAGAAAACACAAAAATAAACAAGACATTTTTTAACTCACATCAAAAAGTCTCACATCGAACCGATATACCCCTTGAGTCATTCGCAAACAGCGTATAGAAATGTGCTCTGTAATTATATTTCATTTTGTTAACAAAATCATCGAACAACCTGGGCCAGCACGAACAATGCATTATTCAATAGACATATGTATCATTGTTCAAGCATCGTTAAGTTTTTTTAATCAGCCCAGCCCCTAGCGGCCTAACAGCTCGGCCCCGTCTCCAAAGACCTCCTGCGTAAAGCCTAATTGCAATCATCTTCGAAAAGAGTTCGTAATTGCAATTGAATTCGCTTTGAAATTCCATTTAACGCTTCCCCGGCGCATCTAATTGGACAACGCATTGGGTAAACTTATTTCTTAGTTGGGTTTTATTTTTTAATTCCAGCTAATTTACGCACCCATTGTTTGTAAAATAAGGAAAATTATACGTATTACTTGGGCTATTATGGCTGTCCAGGTTGCGTAACACCTACCTCGGGCAATAATTTCAAAAACTATTCGGAAATTCGGCGCTACGTTTCCGCTTTTCCAAAATGGTAGTCAAAAAATTGAACCCTACTAGAAGTTTCCTCTTTTCTTTATTCATATTGTATATCTTTCAATTAATTTTCGATAAAAATCGTCAGCCCGCATTCCATCACTGTCAAGTCCGATATATATCGTTCCATACCATTCATCAGCTTTTGACGTTAATATCTTTGTGCAGCTGTATTTTTCGATAAGTATCACATTTACAAATGAAACACGTTTCGCGCAATAGTCTTCAAACGTGTATTTGATAGACGTGACGTGATGTTTCAGCTGACGACAAGGCGGATTTATATTGGGAGTTTCGTTGACATGGAGATAACCGGAACAGTGGATTTAATTTCGTATTGTATTGGCTTACTATTAATCCATCAATCAATCCCTTTATGCTAAACTGTTTGTTCCTCCGCTAAATTATATAATCGCTTTTCTTTATAAATAGTTTTGATAGCTGACTGTTTCGGTTGGTAGTTTCGTTAGAGATATTTCTAAATTCTTCAGTCCTCGTAGGCAGCCTGCGTGACATTTGAAATTTATTTGCAATGTCGATTGAATGTTATTCAATCGAAAATCGGAAACTATTTCAGGTCACAGAGAAATTATTCTTAAGAAAAGCAGTTGTTTAATAATAATAATTTATAGTTTGTCTAAGATTCAGTATAACAACAACTCCGTAATTCGGATTAAGTGAGAAAACTATTTGGATATAAAAAAAAAAAAAAATGATAATATGAAAAATTATTGGAATTGGAAGCTTTAGCGATATTTGAATACACTGAAAACATTTTATAGCACTAAATCTGATGTACTTAATAACAAAAAAAAAAAAATAATAATAATAATAACTGAAAATAATGGAAATGGAAAATCCGGACATGACGATTTCATTTTTACTGAACTAACCAAGTTTCAAAAGCGAATTACTAATTTATTTACTATATTTTCTTATAAGTGTATTGCAGACCTTTAACTATCATAATATGTATATGTTCCAAGACTGCAATGCATTTACCATAAAATTTCATAGATAAATGCAAAAAGTATGCTAAACTATACTATAGTGCACCTAATTAACTCCAAATCTGTATACCAAACACCATTTCAAGCTAATTTCTAAAAAGAGTTTTAAAGCATACTTTCAAGTGCGACTTTAGTTGAGTAAAAATTAAAATAATTAACATTGCGATTCAAATAAATCTAGAGCTTTTGATACTTCATATATTTCTATTATAACAAGATATGAAAAGCATTTGCTAACTTTTCCAAATGTCTTTTTACTTTCAGGTAAGCTTTTAAGTCGAGCTCACATGAGGTTTGTGTACTCGCTGATCTGCGATGTGGGGTTGTGTCCCAGCTAAACAAGCGCCGGTTTGAAATGCACTGCGAAACGCACTAAATGGTAAACAAGTAAGAGTGTCGGAAGTGCACGACTAGGAGATACTCTCTATGAATAATTTGATTAATTATGCTACGCTTTGCTCAAACAGACATCATGAAGAATAAATGCACAAGGCAGCTTCTGGTTTCATTGTTTATTTGTGTACTCATTTATTTACTCGTTAGATATATATAACAACTATTCCAATAAAAATACATAATGTAGTACTTCGTATCCAACTTAACTGCTAATTGAGGTTTTTTGTTTATGTTTGTGTTTCATATTAAATCGTCAATCGAAGTGTTTTTGTTTACAAGCCAAAGACTAATTGAGGTACTCGAAGTGTACACGTCGAATAAAAAAAATAAAAAAATAAAAAAATAAAAAAACAAAAAAAATGTTTATAGGTAGGATATACACACATATATATTTATATATATGTACATATGTACACAACAAACAAGAAAACGCATTAGCATAAATGACTCGATATATACAAGAAGCGCTTATGTGACTAAGGACGACGCACAGAGGGAGGAGCTGCAAAGCGAACTAAAGTGTAATAAATTAGATACGCGACGAGAATTAACTAACTAAAAGCTAAACCCAGTTACACAGCTTGCTCCAATTATACTAAAGCCTAAAGTAGCAGAGCAGAGCTTTGGATTAATCTTGTTCAAATCAAACTCAATGAGCTTTGGAGTGCGCGTCTATGATCAAAATGTATATGCGTATACAGAAGTTTGGCAAAGGATTAAAGTCTGAGCTGAGCTTTTGCTTAAAGCTTAAAATTTAAATGTAATATTAAAGTACGGGATATACAAATGAACGTTTTGTCAATATAGAGGAAACTGACAGTTAGCTTTAGGAATGTTACAAGAGTCTAAGTATGTTCGAGTGGGGATTACTGATGAAAGTCGCTGATAAAAACCAGCAGAAATAATATAAATCTACAAGATGAAAGCTTCTTAGTGGAGAGTGAAACAGAAATGAAAGTGAGAAAACACATTTAAGCTACAGTGAAGCTAAATTGCACTGACTACTTGCAATTGAGCTCACAGAAACTGTTAGGTTGTCTTGCCCGCTGTGTGTCGACTCTACAAGATTAGTCTTAGGCTTAGTCTGCCACTTTGACCAGCTGTCAGTGAGCTTTTAGCTGTGCCCCGGGCCCGGGCCACACATCGCCCACTCGAGCTACGAGCTTGGCAATGGCCATTGCCGCACTGCATCCGCCAGTGTCTCGTTGCCGGCGAGCGGCAGGGAGCGCTTCGAGCGCCATTGCTGATCCGTTGGCTTGGTGGTGGGAGTTAGCCACAGCTGCTTGATGAGATCGGCCCCCTTCTCGGCGATCATGACGACGGGTGCGTGTATGTTGCCATTGGTGATCGTCGGCATGATGCTGGCATCGATGACACGCAGCCCGGGCACACCATAGACCCGCAGCTGGGGATCGACCACGGCCCAGGGATCGCTGGGCGGCCCCATTTTGGCCGTGCCGCTCATGTGGTATATGGTCATCGTGTACTGCCTGATGAAACAGTTCCAATAGTCGTCCGTGAACATGGTCAGATGCTTGCAGTTGGGCACCGGCTTGCTCCAGAAGCGTGCGCCAAAGCGCTTCATTGCCTGTGTCTCGCCCACGGCAATCGCTGACTTGACGCCCTCTCGCAGCACGTTCACATCGTCGGGATGGGTGAGGTAGTTGTGGTAGAGCAGCGGGTATCGCAGCGGGTTCTTTGAGGCGAGCTTTATGTAGCCACGACTCTTGGGGCGCAGCATCATGGGAAAGATGCCGAAGACATCGCGATTGTTCACCTCGCTGAAGACCTCTTGGTAAAACTCATCGGTCAGGCCGTGGGCGGTCTTCACCTGGGAGCCGCCGTCGGACATTACCGAGGCGGAGGTCATCATGAAGTTCATGTCGGGCCAATCGTCGCTGGAGTTCGCGTATTTGGTATTGATAAAGGCCACAGCCTCCAGGCCGATGCTGGAGGTGAGCGGTCCATCCTCCGTGATGGCGTAGCGCAGCGCTGTATTTATGTTCACCATGCGCTTCATCACAATCGAGATGGGGTAGTCAATGGTGAAGGCGATGCCGCCCACCGCAATGTGGTCCTGCAGGTTCTGGCCCACGCCCGGCAGGTGCTGCACCACTGGAATGCCCACTCGGGTCAGCTCATCGCCATGCCCGATGCCGGAGAGCATCATCAGATGCGGGCTGCCAATAGCGCCCGCTGCCAGCACCACCTCCCGCGTCGCATAAACGTTTTGGAGGCGTCCGTCCCGGATGAACTGCACGCCGGTGGCACGTTTCGTGTGCGGATCGGTGAGCACCTTGGTCACATGGGAGAAGAGCGCCACGTGGAGATTGGGACGCAGTCGTGCCGGGCGCAGGAATGATTTGGCCGTCGAGCTGCGTGAGCCGCGACGCATGTTGAACTGATAGAAGCCGAAGCCCGTCTGCTGCGCGCCGTTCACATCGACGATGTCGTAGCCCATCTCCTCGCCGGCCTGTAGGAAGGCCGGGCCGATTGGCGTATTGTAGGGCGCGTCCTGCACCGTCCAGAGGCCACCTAAAATGAATCGAATTTAGTGCGGGTTAACATTGATGAACTTGTCCGACTCACCTGTGCCATGGTAGCGCTTGTTCCGCGCCAGGTAGGGATTGCGCTGATCCTCCGACTTGCGGAAATAGGGCAGAATCTCTTCGTACGACCAGCCGGGATTGCCAAACGACGCCCACTGGTCAAAGTCCCGCCGATTGCCGCGTATGTAGAGCATCGTATTGAGCACGGAGCTGCCTCCGATCACCTTGCCGCGTGTCCAGCAGCAGCGTTTGTCCTTCATGGCCTGACAGGCAGTTGGCTGGGGCTGCGTGCTGTAAGCGCAGTTAGATAGTGGGAGAGAGGGTGAGCGAGGGGGCGGACAGAAGAGAAGTTGATAGAGAGAAAACGTAAACAATTAGCGAATGTGTTGGCAGCGCTTTCATCATTAATCAACAGGTAAACACCGCACGACAATAAAATCGCATTAGCTAAACTATTCAAGGGCCACGCCCACCACTCCCCTTTGTCCCACAGCGACAGCCACTTTGACCGAATGAAATTCACAAATAACAAAAACTGACAACAACAACAACAACAACAACAGCTGGCAACAGAGACCCGAATACGACCAACAATTGTTTGCCACTGGGCAAATTTTATTACAGCATCAACAACAACAACAACAACAACAGCAACACTTGGCATAACTAAAAAGCAAACAAACCGTTTGGGGCTTTAGTGCTGTTGGCTTGGACAAAAAAGTTGATGCAATTGAAGCTCGGCCCTCTAATTGTACCTGATCTACGGCATTAGTTAGCATTTAGCTCGTTTGCCTTGGGCCACGAATTGTTTATAATTAAAGTACTCAAAGTACGTCAATTGCTGAAAGAAATCACACTCAAGGCACTTATTAAGTGCTGTTATTGGAAGTGGCGAGGATTTCCCGGCCTGTGGGCTGGTGTCTGGCTGAAAATGTTTTCACAGACAAGTTTTCCCAGAGCTGCGAGTCGTGTAAGCTGAGCATATAGTAGGAAAGAGAAAGAGCGAGTGAGAGGGAGAGGGAGAGAAAGAGAGATCAAGAGATCAAAGTATCGAAGCTCAATTAAGCCAATTTACGAGACAAAACCCGTTTTGAGATAGTTACTCAAATATTAGTTTTGTTATTGAAATTTCTTTTTACAATCAGCAAAACGAAATGATATTATTTTCAATCAATAAATCATGATTCGAATTATGCTTTACTACCTTGGCTGAAGATCTTTGCATAAGCAGCTTTCATTTATTATGAGAAAGAGGCAAAGATAGATGTAGGAGATGGTGGGAAGAGAAGAGAGAGAGAAAGAGATCCCTCTCTTGTGGGAGCGAGAGAGAGAGAGAGGAGACATAGGAGCGTAGAGAGAGAGAGGAATAGAGAGGGAAAAGCAGAGAGAGAGAGAGAAGGAATGACAGAGTACATGAGAACAGATGAGAGAAAGAAAATGACAGAGCAGAGAAAAAAGGGAGGATAAAATCAGATAAAACAAGTAAGAAGGCTCCAGTCGAGACTGCTCGACTAGGAGATACCCTGAACCCTCCAAGTTGATATTCTAATCATTCCGCACTTCTTTTATGCACACATACATACACATGCATCCACACGCACGCATAAGCCTGCGCTCTGCTAACTGCGCAGTAAGCAGCGACTGCGCTTGGGCTGCGCTGCAGTGTGGGCAATATTATGAGAATTTATTTGTTGAATAATTTCTTTTGTAGACCTACAANAATTAGGCTAAAAAAACAAAATCAATTTTTCGATTATTCTCGATAAAAAAGTTATCGGACGATTTATCGAAAAAATAAAGCAAACTCGTACTGCGTATGGTACACACGAGTATGCATGCCAAATTTCAGCTCTCTAGCTCTTATAACTTCTGAGATCGACGCACTCATACGGACGGACGGACAGACGGACAGGGCTATATCGACTCAGCTCGTCGCGCTGATCAAGAATATATATACTTTGTGGGGTCTGCCACGTCTCCTTCTGCCCGTTACATACTTTTTCACAAAACCATTATACCCTGATTTCCCATTTTCAATGGGTTCAGGGTATAAAAAGAAAAACAGAGCAGAGAGATAGAGATGGCAAAAGCGCAAAAGAGTTATTTAGGAAGAGGAATAGAGAAGGAGAGAGCGAAAGAAAGGAAGGGTAAATAGAGAAGGCAGGGTAAATAGAGAAAGGCAGAGGTAAACTAAGCGATACAGTTACAGATACTGAGACAGAAAAATATAGATTGAAATACAGAAAGAGAGAGAGAGAGAGAGAGAGAGAGAGAGCGACTTTAAGAGAGAAAGAGAGAGAGAGAGGGAGCTAATTTGAATTATTCGAGTTAAAAGCTATCAAAACGAATTATTTTTTAAGAGCTTCGCTTTCATTGAGGAACTCGTAATGATATATTATTTAACTTCCATAATTAATTTAATCTTCCTCTACATGGCAGATCTGCAGCACTTTCTGCTCAAATTTTCCGCTATTTTCCACTTTCAGCGACTGCTCTGGCTTTTCATTGTCATTTTCGTTTTCCCATGCCAAATCGCAAACGCTTGACTGCAAGTTGTTAACAAAACACCTACAAATGTTGCCGAGCAGCTGAAGCAGCTGGCATTTAGCTCTATGGAGGCGTCCTCTCGCTGTGCTAATTAGTTGCATCCATTGTCCCGTTACGCATTTGTTAAACATACAGGAAGTAGCACGAACTGCAAATTAAATGACAGCATGTAAAAAAAAAAAAACCATCCAAGAGGCAGCAGCAAAACAATCAACAATGAGCTCAGCAACTGCTGCACGACTGCAGTGCAATGGATGAAAAAACATTGCAAGAGGGGGAGTACTCGACTAGCCAAATACCCTGTCAAGTTGTATGACTGAAGATCGACAGCTCGGAATGTAATGGAGCTTAAGTCTATATATAAATAAATGGATGTTTTAGAGACTTTGATTGACTATTTGTTTTCTGGTTGACTGATTGAGATCAATTGTAACTTTTAGCAAAACTTAATCAACTTTACCTGCCCCTGCATAGCTCATTAAATTTCTCCTTCGTATTTTTGAAAGTCAGTCAGACCCGCTTTGGCCACAACTGTCTATAGGGTGTATATAAATTAAAATAAAAAGGAAACGAAATGCCAGTCGCGGAAAACTTGGTCAAGCTGCAAACAAGACGTGTGTAATGACAGAGATAGATTGCCATTGAAGATTGAAGAGTAAGAGTTTCGGATATGAAAGTGTTCAAAGTGTTGTTGTTGTTGTTGCTGCTGTTGCTATTGTTGTGGTTGTTGTTGTGGCTTCTGCTTTATTGATGCATATTTATGCACAGTCAATAGATAATCTCTGTTTTTATTTGCTTTGATCATTCGAGCTCATTCACGCCTTCGCCATGTCGACTGGGCTCTAATTAATATGCTGCCATTTACCATATCAGGTGGCTTGGCTGCCGCCGTCAATCGAGGGGCCATCGGTCATTAGGTTTTGCACCACTGTGCGCCTGCGCATTGCTGGGCGTAGTTCGGCTTTATTGGCTATGCGCCTTGACTCAATAAATCATGTCTTGGCTAAAATATGCGAGTCTCTCGCTTTTGCTCGTCGGAGTCTGCCATGAAATGGTTAACTTTCCCTCTGCTCTTCCACTTCCAAAAAATTCACTTACAAGTGACGCAAGTATTGTATATGCGTCTGTGTGTGTATGTGTGTTGAGTGCGGTTTATTAGCCATTTAACAGTTAGCGCACATAAACGTTACCAATTATTGTTAGCTAATTTTTGGGGCCCTCTTCGAGGGCAATTATTTTGCATATTATATATTTATGGACGGTCGACCCGCTTTGTGTGTTTGCACTTCTTTTTATGCTCTTTCATTTTGAAGCGCTCCAAATTTTCCGCTGAGCCTAAGTGTAGACATACGCAATGCCGGCTAGGGTGAAATGAACTAAGCATGAAGTGCGTATATTAACATCGAAATGAATGGCATAAGTCAGAGCAAATAGTCCTCGATATGCTGATGCAAGCAGTGCGAAAGGCCGCTCTGCATTTCAAATGGAGCTGTACTTTGATAGTTGACCTCGGCCAATTTCTTTGAGCAGAGGTTGAGCTAAGCTTCAACATGACAGCATCAACTTCGATGTGGATCCTAAGAAGATCTTCTCCATATTAGCTTCAGATGCATCCGTCAACTAAAGATGTTGAATGGATGGCTGGGTTTACGATATTCTTCTATTTTTCTAATTGATTCAACATCTGATAATTCTTAAAATATGATCTCATGTTAATTTAGTTATTAGAAGTAAATTTTAAACAGACCAAAATTTAAATAAGTAATATTATCGAAATATCGACAACAACTTCTAGCTTAACGATGATGATGATGATTTACATAATTTCTCTAACCTATTAACGTTTTCGTTAAAGAAGAGATGTGAGCTAATCTAGTTGAATATCTATAAATGACTATTTACATCTCGTAACACTAATACAGGCTTCCACTACGCTCTTTGCACGCTTCAAATGCGGGTAATTTGACCTGTCTTTTATTTGCCGTTAAAATTAAAGTTATTGTTGCGTTAACGTCACATTAACACCTTAAGCATTAGTTAAACAGAAACTCATTTACATCATACAATCGTTGTTTATGTCTTGAACTAATTTCGATTTCATTTGGCGATTGATGATTGCGAATTTAAATGTTAATTCAATTGACAAGCTGAACAAGATATATATCATAACTATATAAGGGGGTATGTAAATTGGTTTCTGCTGCTGAAGTCAAGGTCTCGATCTGCTACATCATGCGGCGTGTGCTAATAATTGCAAATTTTTGCTTTGCCCGATTTGGTTGTTGTTGTGAGCAAGTTCGTGTCCTAAGTCTTTTGATTTGCACTGGCCCCAAAACTGAGTCTAGCCATAGAAAAGGCGAATTGTGAAATGTTTCAGCGCATTGTTGGCGACGCTCTAGACATATAGCTGACAGGTGTACGTCTATAGTTTTGATCGTGTGTATGTGTGTGTGCTATGTAGTGTATCTCTTTCGCGCTCAAGTGTTGGGAGCGTTTCTGCTGAGTGTTTTTGTTTTTGTTTTTTGTAAGCTACTCACTGAAGCCTGTCGTACAAGACGCGACGCAGGCGATGTTGATATTTTCATTGTTGCTGCTTGTTGTTGTTGTGAGATGTTGCTTGTTTGCGTTTCATGTATTTTTGATTGGCAATTGAGCTCATTGCATTTGGCCAGCCAGGCAGACAGTCAGACAGTCAGCCAGGCAGCTCGCCTCAGCTGCGGCTGGTGCTCTTGCTGCTGCTGCTGTTGCTATTGTTGGTATTTCTCCGATCAGGTCTGGCGTTGTGTTTCATTTCATTCCATGCCATTTCCAGCCTGTAACCGATTAACCCACTTTTTGTGGCCCGATCCGGTTTTGGCCATTTGGCATTCGTTGCATTTAGATTGAGAAATTGTTGCTGTAGGATATGCCGGCTCAACAATCCACCCTACCGCACCCCAGTCCCCAGTCTCCTCCCTTCACACCTGTTCGCTCGGCCCCACCTTTGCATTGTACATAGATTTCTGACATATGCACAACATCCGAGTGCAGTCGCTTGATGTCTGCAGTCGAGCGCTCAGTTTCAGGCGCTAATTATGCGCGTTGACATTTCTGATACCACGGCGCAAGTGATGCGAATTCGTTGAGGTCATTTGAGCATTACATAAACCAGAAATACCGACAACAACGGGAGAAGAAGAAGATCAACCTGGGCTGCGGAGACTGACAAGGCCTCTGTCTCTGCAGCCGGGCCAAACTTTGAGTATGTGAAATATTTTGTGCATCAGCTTGATGGGCGTGCTCCTAATCGGTGTGTGTCTGTGCGTGTGTGTGTGTGTGCGTGCATTCCTAATCTATAGGATTGTCCGCCTGCGTTGCCAAATAACTCATTATCAAAATAAATACCAAGTGTCGCAGCAAACATCAACATTATTTGGTTAACAGTCTTTTAATTGCTCGCAACTGCGTAATATTCGCGTCAAATGTTACGGAGAGCGCTGTGTAAATTAACATCTGTTGATTTTGGGGCACAGCTAACCCCAGTTAGCCGAGCATTCAGTATTTAGCACGTGCGTTAATAGCTCAGCAACAGTCGGCGAAAATAGTTATGTGCCTTTTGGTTGCCATTGGTCTTCCCGTTGTCAACAAGCTGACGAGATCTGTTTGGGTTTCGCATGGAGCTGTGAGAGGTCGGAATTGTAGGTAATTGCAGTACCCAGCCAGATGGCAACGCCGCGACATACATAAATCAATAAATTTTCTTTGGACAGTTTAATTTGAGATGATTTGCTGACACGCTGAGGGCTTTTAATTCGGCTGGCCATGTTGCCACCTGGTCATTTACAATAGCGTTGGCAGCACTTGAAATCATTTATTATCAATCACCAGCGAGTGATTGATAGTGTATGATAAACAAAAGTTAAGTAACGTAAAGTGATTTGAATGTTGTATGCCCTTTCGATTTGTTAGTGTGTTTAGCGTTGCCATATGACAGAAAAATATATTGTTGACTTGTAACACAAATACTGGTAGACTTGCATATAAATGTGAAATTTATGCATAATAACTCGATATGAAAATTAGACTCTGTCATAAATTTCAGATTACCGGTGTTGGTAAGCGTTGCCAAACTGCTTAAAAAACAACTTTGAGTAAACAACTTTTACGTGTAGAAAGAAATGTGAATTTAATAAATAGAAATAAAAGAAATTGAAACTCGATTAGATTAGTGTTAAAAGAGTGCTTGAATTATGGTTCTCTATGATTTTTGTCAAATATTTGCAGAAAAGTTACCTCACATATCTTGGTACAATTTTTAACTCTAAAGCTACTTTGAATAAAGCTATCAACTCTAGCTAGCATTTCTTAGATTTTAACCATGCATACAAAAACTTGGTAAATATTTGTAAATACTTTTACCACATGCAAATCATTCAAGTGCAACAAAATGCCCGATGTGGCAAGCAGAGTATTTTAGATTCGGATAAACCCTTTCACAGTGCTCGAATCTTGTTGATTGCGGCAGCAGACGAAAAATAACTAACGATGCTGGCTAGGGATTATGCTGGGTGCCCATGGCGACAGGGTACTGGCCTTAGCCGTAGCTCTTGCTGCTCCCTCTGTTGTTGTTGCTGCTGCTGTTGTTGTTGTTGTTGTGTAGATTGGCCGGCACCGCGTGGCTGTGCCTCGCGAAAGTGATGCAATGGCGCGGAAAACAGGCGCCGATTGCCACACGCTCCATTCCAGTGTGTGTGTGTGTGTGTGTGTGTGTATATATGTCTATTTCGTATGCATTTGGCCGGGAGGCAGCAGAGTCGGGAATCGACAGGAGGCGGGCGGGGAAGTGGATAAGCAACCGAACCGCTCTGCTGCATTCAATTACAAGCAAATGCAGGCGAAGCCAGTCCAAATGAAATGAAAAATGGAAATGCTATTCGAATTGAGTGCTGTGTGTCTGTGTGTGTGTGTGCGTGTGTGCGAGACTTTGGTAATAGCTTGTGGTCGTCGCATGCTAATGCCAATGGAATTCTGACAAGCCGAAAAAAAGTGAAATTTCTGTGGCCGCTATTGGGCCGCGACCACGCCCAGTCCGATGTCCGATGTGCTCGATGCGGGCCCTACCGAAAACAGTTAAATAGATTACGGTATTGAAAAGCATTCGAACAATACTAAACATCGGCTCATGAATAATAAGCAGACAGGTGGCTGGCTGGCAACAGCTGAGCCGAAGACCTCAAGAGCTGGAGACGCTGAGATATAAACAACTGTTCCTAACAGTAAAGTGTTCTAATTTAATTTGACATTTCATTGATGAGTCGTCGGAGCTGGGGGAGGAGAGAAATTAATTTCTTTTAATTGCAAACATGCTTCTCTTTCGTTCCTCGGTGGAGGGGGGGTCTTGAGGGGGAGTCTTGACTCTCCAGAAGATGCAAGTCACGTAGGCAGCACAAGTGAACGTTTTCTTGAGAGCTTTGACATTAAAATGAACAAATAATCTTGTCGAGAATGTTTACTGTCGATGCTCGACCTGAGAGATGCCCTATAAAAAGATATCTGCCTGTTGCCGGCATATAGAATGAAAGGAGGTACTTTGACCCATATTGCTAACAATATATTATTCAGTAATATATTGATATTGAATTGAGTTTAATTCTGTTTTTTGTTATCTGCTATACATCTATAGTCAATAACAACCAAGAGTATTTAGTATTCGGTCTACCTATGCTGGCAATTTATTCTATATTTTCCCTAGTCACGTGTCAAGAAGTAAAAGTGCGCGTTATTTACGGAAGCTCATAAAACGAATTGGAAAAGTGACACCGGCTACGTGCCTCAATTGAAAGAAAATGGATATAAATCTCAGCATCAATATTGAGTAGGCATCATAGACATAAATCCCAAATGCAACTAGTTGGCATTATTATGCATATATGATTTGCATAAAACGTTGGTCGATTTAGTCGTTACACAATGCGCACACTGTACAGTGCAATCTCTTTTCAATTTGTGCGGTGCACATTATGAATGCATTATTATGCGAAAATCTCTATTGTCCGACAAATCAAAGCCGTCCATGGACCAAGTGTTGCCCCATCCACGTCCATTTGGCGTTTGTGTGTGAAAAGAGAGCGCAAAAAGCCAAACACTTTGACAGATTGCTGCTAACTGAATAGAGTTACCAACTGGCCGAGTGGTCAAGCCCAAAGTGAATGAGCAACACGATTAGCTCAGACTCCCAAAGACTGGGCGCTGCCCAAGACATAAACTTGGCAAACTTCGGCATGGCATCGAACTAGTGTGACCCAAGTTAGTCAATACGGAAGTTATTCAACAGCAATAAATTATATGCCATTAGACTATAAACTCATCGTTCAGAGAAAGCAGACATCAAGTTTTATTGACACATTTATGTGTTCTAAGAGACTTCAACTTCATACAAACTGAATGAATTCAGCCCATAACAACATATTTGCCCAATTAGGAACTCTTGATCTTTCGTTTAGCTCTCGGATCAAGTCAAATGCATAACCTGAACTCGTATTGCTCTCGTTTAATATTGTTTACGACTTAGTATTTAACTACTATAGCAGTTTATGTTAATGATTTTTTTTGTATTGCTTGAACCAGGTTTAAATCTTACTTTATCAAACTTCAAGGCCTAGCTCAACTTTCAAGCGAACCGGCAAAACCATTGTAATACCCTCATATTAATCTGTTTACATACATGTTTTGCTCTTTAGTTGATGTATTACTTTTAAAATGCATAAAATATGACAAGCGTTAATTTATTTGGCATTTATCTATCCTGCTGTGGTTAGTTTTGACAGATCTGGAATTTATTTGTTAACAACTTTTACTGGGGATGAGCAATGAGCTAATATATTAAAATGAAATTTGTTTAGCTTGAGCAAAGCTCTTCAATCTGAAGATTTATTCGATCTTTATATTGACCCCACATAGATATGATATGAATATTTGTACTGCAAATTAATAATATAAAAGACTCATTAAATACCACATCTATTAGACACGCAGTCAATGACAACTGGGTCTGAATGGTTGACTCTTGGCCATTTGCAGATTTCACAACAACAGCGAGGTGCCACACGAGTAAAAAAAAAAAAAAATCATGTTGGATTTTGATATGGAAATGGAATCCGCAGAGTCATTTAGTCGCAAGTGACGCATCAGTAGATGCGACTCAAAACTACAGCGCGAGGCCCATTCGGGGCGTGTTTTTGTTTGACTTGACCGAAAGGTGGTAAACCGAATGACAATTGTGTACTTGGCTAGTTGTTTTGCTTTGTTATGACGGCTATTAGTGTTTGCTTGGGCTGTCCCTCACTCAGTCCGATGTGGGTCACTGCGAAGGCTCGCCCCTGAGGGCAGACTCACCGATACTTCCAGTCCATTTTGCTTTTGTGCAAATACAGCGACAGCAGCGGCACATCCGATATCTCCGTCTCCTGGCCGCCGGCCTCCAGCAGCAGGACCTTCCAGTGTGGTATCTCCGACAGCCGCGAGGCAAGCACCGTGCCCGCCGAGCCGCCGCCAATGATGATGAAATCGTAGGCCAGCTCCACCTGCGGCACGTTGAAGGGCCGATTCTCCGGATCGAACAGATCGTAATTGTAGTACGCTATGGCGGCGATCAGGAATGGCAGAATCGTCAGCTTGCCGACGCCCACCACAGCGGTGGTCAGTTTGATCGCCGAGGCGATGGCCAGGCCCAATTTAGAGGCGCCCACAGCGGCCACGCCCGCTGTGGCAGCCGCCTTCGAGGCGGTGCTCGCCTTAAAGAGCAGCCCGCCCACCGAGACAGCGGCAGCGCCTAGAGCAGGCACAACAACCATATTGAAGGGTTCGTTTGTTCTCTCACTCTCTTGCACTCTCACTCTCTCTCTCTCTATCCCTCTCTTTCTCGTTATGTTGTTTATGCCGCTTCAATTGTGAGCTCTGGCTTCAGTGCCTATCCCTAAGCGTTGTCTTCCTCAGCGCCTATTGCGCTCAGCACATCTTGTTGCCAATCACCATCATCTTCTTTATCAAGAATCCACCTTTTCGACACTTTCATTTACGCTCACAAATCACGAGTCACGTTCACCAATCACAATTACTGCTGCACTTTCATTTAGGCTTCGACAGAAAATAATAATAAAAAAAATTTCTGTTGTTTTCTTTTTGAAAAATAAATAAACAGTAGTGCGAGTCGCGTCGAGTCTTCGCTTCGAATTCCTCGTCGCGTATATAAATTGCTTTTTTTCCCAAAATAAAAAAAAAAAATTGTTTTGAAAAAAAGGCAACCGACTCGTTTGGCAGCCGCTGCGTTTCTGAGCCACAAAAGCAACTCGTGTGCGACGTTTTGTCTGCTTCGCTTTTCTTGTTGCAAGCCCGTCGTCGCGTCGAAGCCCCCGCCGAAGCTAAAGCAGAGGCTGAAGCGGTTGCGCATGCGCCCGCCCTGTGGAGCTCGCTCGTCAGCTGAGGAGCTCTACGCGCGCAGTCGTCTGCTCTGCAACCGAGCAGAGCTGAGCTAAAGCTGAGCGCGTGACACGATCACGATCCGATCGGCGCGTTGCATACGTGTTATTAATAGATGATATGACGTGTCTCTCTCCATTTCTCTCTGAAATCCTCATTCCCACAGTTCTTCTCCTAGTATTTTCTCTCTAGTTATCTAATCCTATTCACACCCACACTCTGAATCTCGCTCTCTCTATCTCGCTTTCCCTCTCACACAAACACATTCCCTCGTCTTTCTCTCTCGTTATTTTCTACCTCACCCCCGCAGTCTCACTTTCTCTCTCTCTCTCTCTCTCTCACTGTATCTCTCTCTCTGTCTCCCTCTCTCTCTCTCTTTCTTTCTCTCTCTGACACTTTATCTCTTTCTCTCTCTCACTTTATCTCTCTCTCCCTCTCTCCTTCTCTCTTCCTCTCTCTCTCTCTCTCTCTCTCTCTCTCACTCTCTCTCTTTCTCTCTCTCTCTCACTCTTCCTCTCTCTAACTCTTTCTTTACCTATCTCTCTACACATATCTCTCTATCTACCGATCGCTATGTCTGCTCTTCCTGATTATCTCTGTCTTATTTTCTCCCCCTTGATCTCCTTATCTCTTTGTCTATCTCTTATTTTCTCTCACTGGTTTTCTTTGACCCTCTTTTCTGTATCTATATCTCTTGTTCTATTTATTTTGATCTCACATTGATCTCATGATTTTATGTATATTTTTGTTTGTGTGCTTCGCTTGATTTTTTATTCTTCTTCATATTTCTTCTTAATCTCATGTATATTAATGCTCGCAATCAGTTTACTAAATATTAACCCACTATTCTGCATTATGTAACTTCCCTAAATAATATTGGCATACTCCTCTTTTAAATGAGTTTAATAAATATACTCATCAGGTTTCATACAATACAATTCCACTTTCAATTTAATTTAACACGCGCTCCGCTCTAATTTCCAAATACACTCACACTCTCGTACACAAACACAAACACACACACGCACAAATACGGCTTTATTTAAGAGCACGTTCCAGCTTGGTGGCTCCTTTTCGCCAGCTGCTGCGGGAGCTGTTGCGAAACGGTTGAGCATTCGTACTCCATTCGCACTCACTGATGGCGATGGCTTAGCGCATAACCGATTGGCAACCGTTTGGCAACTGATTGGCGACCGTTTGGCGCTCCTGCCGCATTGCTCTCCCGCTGACGATTCCGCCTGCCGTTGGGCATTTTAAGTGTTGTTGTGTTTTGTGGTTTTTCTTCTCCCGTCTTTCGCTTTTTACCTTACCTTACCTTACTCACTTCTCTTTTTATTTCACTTAACCAAACGACCTTCATGCTCACTTAACAGTTATGTGCACTTAGCCGACGATCTCCGGCTAGTGTGAGTATGACTGGGTATGCGTGAGTATGTCTCAGTGACTGTGTGTGTGCGCTCACGTAAGCCACTAGCTTACTCAGAGGCGGGAGATAAGAAGTCGAATAAGTTTTAACTCCTGAGGCAGCGGATGTAAAGTCTACATTGTACAATACCAATATCTATATACATATGTATTTTTATTAAAGAAATTACCAAAATAAAGAAACAAATAATATGGTACAGTCATGTGTAATGCACAAACCGGCTTGAAATGCTAAGTGCAATGGCCAAAATGAGTGAAAAAGCTACAGGAAAACAATTATTTCAATGTGTGCCAATTGGCTGGAAGTTGATTCAATTGAATGAACCAAATCAATGATGCTTAATCATATTTAATGATATACATTTACTTTGTGTTTAAAGTATGTCAAATAGCTGGTTAACAGAGCGTGTTGCTGTAAAGCTGTTGCTAACAGAACAGTTATTGCTAAAAGCTGTCAAGCCAAGTTTGAAACAGTTCACTTAACTTGTATAAGGCAAAACCGTTGAGATTACTGTTGTGTTCATGATAAGAGTAGTGATGTAATAAACATTTGGGATTGAAAGATGAAAAGATTCGTTTAGAATGGAGAGCAAGCAAGAGACTTGTGAAATAAATCCGAATAGTTTCGGCTAGAAATAGTTTTCAACGATTTTAGAGAAATGTATTGAAAATCAGATTTGTATATAAGAAGTTTGAAAGTTCCATGAGATTTACAGTAAAGTACGTAGAGTCAATCAAATGTTAAATGATAATGTTAATGTTTAATCTACAGTGTAGAGTCTACACTCTTAATATTAATGATCCGAGATATATACGATTCGTAAGCTGAGATATTAGTCATTTATCATAATGTATCAATTCATCACCAGTCCCATATAAACTAATGAGTCCAATAAGAGCTAAGCTCGCTTTCTTACTGTTTAACATAGCAGCGCATGTCACAGCTGTTAACTGATACCTGTTAACAACATTCTTTGCCAAATAGAGCGCTTCATCTCAATTAGAATCTCGATTTCAGTGAAATCGCATTAAGCGAACAACAAAAATACCGTACATCTACTTGTGAACGGTGAGACTTTAACTGTTCAGGAGAGGCTTAACAGCGCACAAATATGTCAATCAAGTGCTCGACTCGCATCGAATTCAATTACGCAAACAAAACATGTGAGAGTGTGGGCGAAAGTAGGGCGGCGGGGTGGGGTTAGGCTATACTCCACAGAGTAGGCTTCTCCACGCTTGCCCCCATTGAAGATACGTAACAAAATGTAATGACCGCAAATTAAGACAGCGACGATAAATTGCGAGGCGATGCCTGGTCAATTGTTTTCCATTCGCCACAAAAGGTCGGACGGCCGAATCGGTTTTTCCTCGCCGTGCGTGACTTTGGCATGCGAAAATGCGTCGGCTTCGCTGGAAAAGCCTAACGAGTCCGCACTGTGGTAAGAAACAAAAAACAAAAAAAGTTGAAACGTCACTAAATAAATAGAGTTGACCAACATAAAGCTGCACAACTTGACCGTGTGCTGAGGGGCCCTTCAATGAGATGTGAAGTCGTTTATTGTCATCTAAGAATGGTCAAGGGCTGAGAAGTGGGGCATTTATGACTCGATGCCATTGAAGAATGCAGCATGGGGGCACTCAAAAGACGAGGGCGTTGGGCAACAAGCGCTCGCGATGCCCTCGTAAAAGCAAAGGTAACAGACCAATAGACGGAGACTTTGAAAATTGCGGCATGTGTTAGCTGTAAACTGTTTTCGAATCAGTTGCCCACATTTCAAAATCATAATCATAATCTTGGGCAATCAATTAAAGAGGTTATTAAACTAGGCACGACTTGTCATTCTGTGCAAGACTTGAAGACAGAGAGACAGACAACAGATGGCGCTGCTTGAGATTCACTTACTGTAATTACTTTTACTAACTTACCACAGTAACTTTAATAGTTGGTCAGCTGAGCTAACTGTTGCCTAAATACATATACTTCGTTTCGTAAATAGCATAAAGATTATTTTGGGCTTTTTCTTGAGATTACGAAAAAGCAAATTAACAGCGTGAAATGTTATGCCAACAGATGGCGCCGGCAATCGCCCAGCCCCGCACTAAATATTTCCATAGCGAGATGATAGCGACTCTGGGTGGCTAAGTGACCCACACTATTAAAGCACTTCCGCTACAATTACGGGCGGCACATAATAAAGCGCACAAATTTCCGGTACTTACGGCTCGTTTTGTATTTGGCTCCATGTCAACTTTCCCAATCAACGCCGAAATTTACTTAAAAGCAATTAAAAGTGAAAGACGCACTGTGCGAGCTATGCTCAAGCAGAAACAATTTGGGGTGACATAATGAATATATCAAAAWAAAATAAAAAAATAAATTATAAAATAAAATATATATAAATTATATCTATTGGAATGAAATCTAAAATGAATTTCACAAATTCCATATATGTATTTGCGTTAAGCATTTATTTTTTTATTTCTTGCAAATGTGTTTGTCAGCTACTTATTAGCCACTATAACTGTATTAAAGCTTTAGTATATGTCAATGTATAATAGATATGTAAGTGTGTGCAGCTGAGGCCAACCACAGAGCCAAGCGGTGCGTGGCATATTACACGAGCACTACGTGACCTATTGCCATAGAAAAGGAAAACAAAGAGACAAAACAAAACAAGACTTACAAGCTTATATATTATTCACTAGATAGAGAGATACACGCGTGTACTTGCACGTGGATTACCACACACACACACACGCACACACATACACACAAACAGTAGACAACTGTTGTGGTAACAGGTAGCTCTTGGCTGACATCTTTCATCTAATCGGTTGCCTAAACGCCTGGAAGTGCATTTCTGCCCGTCATCGTTGCTCCGCTCGGTCGTAACTCAATGCCAAATCAGCGTAACGCATCTCAGATGGATCTTCTCATTGCGCACCATTCAACTCTATTTCGTATTACCTTACGCATCTGCCACAAACTGTCTGGGCCAAGTGCAAACAGTTGGCCCCTACGTGTGCGCTAATTACTCAACCCATTCGAGCAGTCTAGAGAGACGGTGTTGTGGGAAAATAGCTTACGTTAACTAATTGAAATATTGAGCTACCGGCTCAAATGGGAACTAACTATGTAGATATTCGATTATAGCTACAGTAGCCAAAAAATAATATACACATGGATTATTATCTGGAACTACTAGTAATACCAACTGTGACATAATTATCTATAGCAATTAGGGCCTCTAACCCAAACATTTCGATTTCAGTGTAGTCTCGAGCGAATAGACTTTGGATTGTCCCTGAATCTCTCCCATTTCATATAATAGGCAATCTCTTCAATCATACCAAACATAAATATCCTATTCCAGCTACCCTGTAATTTAATTTACAAACAAATGACAAGCTCTTCACAGTTAGTGGGATACTCTTGTGAAAACGAATTCAAATTCCAAATCCAATTAATTTCAGTTCCAGTGAATTTTGGTTTAGGTGTCACCTGCACTGGATCCCT